ATTCCTATATAATGAATAACAATATTGCAGCCAGAAAGTGTTCGTGAGATAACTGATGTTCTTCGGTTGGAAACACTATCAATGCCATAACCAAAGGATCTGCAGCCTTGGCTTCATTAGTCATTACATGGATGCAGTTACTACGTTTTACTTTTCAATTTCTTAGTCACTACGTATTACTTTTTCTATTTTTTTTAGCCTTTTGAAAACTACTTCATTATAAAATTTAACAAGGGTAGTAATTTAATCATAATAGCATTGCCTTTTTTATTGTTCGATTTTGTTGCATTACTTTCGACAATGTCATGAAATTACATTGTAAAAATTTACAACATTATTTATGAAAAAATCTCACCCTTGCCATCGCCTCCGACGAATCTCGCCGCCGCCATCGCTCTCCGCAGATGGATCCTCACTTAGCCATGCCATTCCCGCTAATTTCCGTATCGCTGGATAAGTGCTGCCATCGCCGCTCCAGGGCTGAAGTAGTGCCGCCATAGCCGCTTCAGGGGTCCACCATCTCCACTCCATGGGTCCGTCGTCTCCACTTCAGCCGTCGTCAGTCTTTGTCGCCGCTTCAGATCTCGCCAGTCTTCATCACCTCCTCACCAGTCATCGACCTCCTGTGGTTTAGATCTGGTTCAGATCCGGCGATGATTTGTGCGCATGGCCGGCGAAGAGAGTCAAAATCGGGCGGGTCGAGTTATTGGGAGTGGCTAGGGTTGACTGGTGGTGGTGGGATGGGCTGTTGTGGGCTGGTGGGGTAGGGGGGTAGGGGTGATATGCTGTAGATTAGTGGGGAAATGGTCAAGGAAAGTGGTGGTGGGGCAGGGACTGGATGCGGTGGTCACCAGCGGGGAGGGTGGTGGTAACTGACTGAAGGTGGCCGGAGTAACTTTGTGTCACTATGGGCATCGGCGGCGGCGGTTTCCGGTGGGTAGTCACTCTGGCTGGTGGAGTCACTATGACCGGAGTCACTGTGACGGTAGGGCAGTCACTGTGGCGGTGGGGTAGTCACTGTGGCCGGCGGGGCAGTCACTGTGGCCGGCGGGGCAGTCATTGTGGCCGGTGGGGCAGTCACTGTGGCCGGCGGGGCAGTCACTATAGCCGTTGGACAGTCACTTGGTCGGAGTCACCGAGGCCGGAGTCACTTTGGATTGCAAGGGCTAATTTGTTGTTGGTCACATTTTTGGATTTTTTTAAAACATTTCACTTTTTTGTCTTAATAATTACAATGACATGTAGATAATGTCATAATGTGATACTGTAATATAATATCATTGTTTGAAAATTAATATCATTGTAAGAACAAAAATGACAATGTAAGTATATTGTCATTGTCTCTATATAATAACAACGTAATACAATGTCATTATTTAAAAGTCAATGTCACTTTGTGATAATGTAATATAATGTCATTGTATAGAAATCAATGACATTAAATAACATGGAGTATAATGTCATTGTTTAAACATCAATGTTATTAAATGACAATGTCATTGTTTAAAATCAAATTGCCATATGTCATTGCGATAATAACATTGTGACATTGTCTCCACCGATGACATTGAGATATTTTGACATTGTTATGTCATTTTGTGAGTATGTGACATTTTGTAATTATATTATGATATTATCACGGGACATTTCGATATTAACATTGTGATATATTTTCTAAATTTGACATTGTTTTCGTTTATGACAGTTTTTGGAAAGAACAATTTATGACATTAAGATATTGTGACATTGTCATGTGTTGTTGTGACATTCTGGTATGAAATTGTAATATTGTCTAATTACATTGTGACATTGCGCTATTGACACTGTAAGGTTATAAAGAATAGAAAAGAAAAAACAAAAATTACGGAGTCTGATATTGAGAAATTAAACAACTAAAAGCAAAAACGACCTACAGCAGGACATGGAAGAATAGCTCTCACAAGACGTACGTATCGCAGGGAGAGGGCACTCAAGCAACTTTGTAATTAAAAGGGAGGAAAAGGGGAGGGGAAGAAACAGCGTCCCAACCCAGTCATCGATGACCACTCCACTGATAATTCGCACCGGCGAAAACCACCGGCGTACCGGCAGTGATTGTGATCTGCAACTGATAAGAACGATTACTTTGTTGATAAATGGGAAATACGCATATATTCATAGCAGGAATTCAAAATTGGCAGGACTCCGTTGATCGTGTCTGCCTATGTATTGATAGCGGACTTCCTGGGAGCAGGAGCGGGAATACGTAAGGGTGTGGTGTAAGGGTGTTTTTGTCTCTCCGTTCAAAGTTACTCTTATTTAGGAGTTAAAAAGTTTTAGGTCCTATTTACATTCCCACATCTTTTTTTAGTCCTATTTAGGTCTATTTTCCTTTTAATTACGAAAATGTCATCGACCGTACAATGCTCCATATTTAACAAACTCTATTGAAAAACAGACTAGTGGTTTGTTTGCAATCCATTAAAAAAAGTGTTTTTAACTTTTTTTTAAGAAAAAAACACTTATTTTACCAAACACTACCAACTTTTACTTTCTCGGCTTCCGTGTAAAATCTACTTTTTACTTTTTCTATTACACAAAAAGCACTTATTTTACCAAACACTACTAACTTTTACTACTAATCACTTTTTCCCCAAAAATGCTTTTATTTAAGCACAAGTGGTTGCAAACAAAGCCTAGTTCTAGTTCCAACCAGTCTCGAGATTGGAGCCGTGTCCACCCACCATTACCTACAATCTCCCATTTCATGACCATTAGTTTAACACTTTAACTTCTTTAAAGTTATTTTGAGTAACTTGTTACAGGTTAGTAAACTCAAATTGCAAATAATGCTAAAAAAACAGTTTAGAAACCATTGTTTGCCATATGGCACCAAACTGTAGAGTCGTTTTTTAAAGAGAACATTACCTTAAATAAGATAAAAAATGTTTGAATATTCCAAAATAGGACAGTCATGTTTTTATTATCAAAATAGGACTAATTATTGTCATGTTTTGGCAGTATCAAACTTTAAACATGGTAGTATTCTCCAAACTTGGCAGTAAGTACTCCTATTTTGGGAATAAAAAATGTGTCAATCCTATTTTGAAATTTACAAGAAAAAATTGCACCGAAATTACAATCCACCTTTGCATTTCCGAAACTATGAGGCAATTTGCCTTTTCAAAAAATGTGACTTAGCTTGGGCCGTTAGGATCTTCAATGGATCATATGAGTGGCCTTTTCCACTCAAGTTAATGAGTGGCTTATATGAATCATATATAAATAGAAAACCCTAGCTTATCAATTCAAACTGGCGGTCTTCAACCTTTCTTCATTCCAGAGATGAGCTTCGTCTCTCTCCATCAGTCGACTACCCATCGCACTCCAGCCGCCGGCATCCCACCGCTCCACCGCACTCCAGCCGCCGACACCCCAGCGCTCCACCGCCGTCATCCCCGGCCGCACCACTCCAGTTCTTCTTCTTCTCATTCTTCTTCGCCGCTGCTTCTCCTACCCGCCCTATTCCGCGAGCGAAGGTTAGGTAACGATGGCTAGGTCAGCGACGGCTAGGTGACGATGGCCAGACGAGCGACGGCGTTGAACGGATATGTGATTTTGGCGGTCATTAAATTTAGGATGGGGGCGGCGACGAGCTGGCGGCCAAGGTTACAGGCGGTGGTGCGGTTGGGGGCTTGGTCGGAAGTTGGGGCTTAGGTGTGAGGCTGGGACCTGGGGGTTTGGAATCTGGATGGGCTGGCGGGCAGATCTGTGTGTTGGGGTGGTCTAGGGTTGACCTGTGGGACAGGACTAGGGGCTGACGGGGAAGAGCTGGGGTGTTAGGTGGGTGAACGTCATCGGTGGCGTCTCCGGCGGCGGTGTTAGAATTTAGGCGAAAGTCACTGTGTTAGTGACAGGAGTTGGGCGGCAGTCACTGGATTAGTGACCGGAGTTAGGCGGCAGTCACTGGAATAGTGACTGCAGTTAGGTAGAAGTCACTGATCAGTGACCGAAAGTCACTGAGTCAGTGACTGGTGGCCGCGGTGGCCGCGGCGGCGGCGGCGGCGACGGCGGTGCTGGTAGCGGTGGTGGTCTTGTGGTGCTGGGGTCAGTGCACCGAGGTACTGGTGGCAATAAGACATGGTCCGCTAATCAAATCATATAAAATACTCCGTATATTAAATACTACGTATAAGGATAAATGGCTGGATAAATGACCGTTAGTAACACATTTGGAAAATTTAAAAAGATGTTACATTTTTGTATTTTCTGTTCATTTTAGTAATATTGATATAAAAAGGCCAATTTACAAACTATTTTAGTTCTATTTCAGGAACTCTCCCTTTTTAAATTTATTAAAGTTGGGATAAGGGTCAGATAGGGCCTCGAACTTCGAAAAAAATGTCAAATAAGGCCACATTTAGGTTACTATGTCCGGCTAACGCCATTTGGGGCGGTTCCCGGTTGAATTTTTTGATGATTTTTTTGAGAATCTTATTCATTAAGTCTAGTTTACTCATATCAAATTTGAACTACCAATTCAATCGGGAAGGCATTCAAATTAATTCTTGAAGATAATTGCGCTTTTAACTGCACAGTTATCTTCAAGAATTCATTTGAATGCCTTCCTGATTGAAGTTTTAGTTCAAATTTGATATGAGTAAACTAGACTTAATGAATAAGATTCTCAAAAAATTTCATCAAAAAATTCCATCGGGAACCGCCCCAAATGGCGTCGGCCGGACAGAACATCCTAAATATGGCCTTATTTGACATTTTTTTTTCAAGTTCGAGACCCTATTGAGACAGAACTCCTATTAAAGTTCAATAGCTTTCTCTCAAGGAGCATATTTAATTTGTAATTTAATTAAAGAATTGAAAAAGGTAAACTAATCCTTCCATGGTTAGTAATAATATGGTGGCCTAGTAACCCCTTATTTCATTCAGGCATTCTAACTCAAAAAATTTCAATCTAGTGAAAAACACTTTTAAAAGAATTTTTGTTTAAATGAATGTACTTAGCAACAAGTGGTGCGTCTGGCAAATAGTAACCCATTGTTACAAACTTACAATGAAGCATTCTAACCTACCCTATTCATCGACTCTTACTTGTGCATTCTCCATTCGCATTCGCCCTCAATTAATCGTAGTGCCCTCGTTGGTCTGATATCACCAGGTCCAGCATAAGTTCAGTTGAGTAGAAGCACTTTCGCCACCGTCATAGAGTACCCATCTCTGTTTAATCCCTAGAGTAGCTATCTTTGTCTCCTTGATGTAGAGTTAATGGATTAAATTCTCTTTTTAATCGCTTGAATAGAAATTCAGAGTTTGCAAATTTTGAATGCTACGAAATTGTACTTCCTAATATGTACACCAATGTTTTAATGTTTAAACAGTAGAGGATTCATGATTTGTTCTTTTCTCTTTGATTGTTTGCAAATTTTGAATGCTATGAAATTGTATTTCCTAAAGTTTCAATATTTAAATAGTAGGATTTGAAATCCGGATTCATGATCTGTTCTTATCTCTTCTTGATACCACTCATAATCTGTTTGAGATTCAGACTTACCCGAATTCACCCATTTGAAGTTATCCCTAACTTAGTTTTTCCTATAATTTGCTTCTATTAGTGCTGCATATATCATGGTGAGGAGGAGGGATAGACTCCGTGAACTTCCGGCCAATTTACTTGACAAGATTTTGGGATGCATGCCCATTTCGGATGCTGCTAGATTGGCCGTTTTGTCTTCTTTCTGGAGAGATGCGTGGTTCAGTCTTACAACTCTCGATTTTGATGATAACTTCTTTTGTCACATAAGAGACAAGTATGATTGGTTCTATGCTTGTAGTGATGAAAGGACCCATAAACTAATATATGACAATGATAAAATTGATATCTCGGTCTCTATGAGTTTGAATGTAATCAACAAAGTTCTAATTCAGCACAATGGACCTATTCACAAATTTTGCTTTGCATTTGGGGATGACGGGATAGGATCACTTAAGTCACGAGTACTAGATATTTATCAATGGCTCACTTTTGTCACACAAAAAGGTGTTGAAGAAATTCACCTTAGGTTTGAGAGACAAGATGGATTCTTACTGCCAAACTGCATCTTTTCCTGCCCAACACTCAGGAGTTTGCGTCTCTGTGGGTCGACTTATGACACAGTAGATGCACCTCGAAACTTACCAAATTTCACTTCACTTTATTTTGAATATGTTAGCTTTGAGCCTAGTGGTCATGCAATTAATGCTCCTATGCTTGAGAATCTCACATTTTTTGCATGTGATGAATCCATGTTCCATTTTAATATTACTGCCCCAAAACTTGGTATGTTAACAATTCAAGCTTGTTCTTATCGCCAACGTAATGGTTATCTTCCAATTAACTACGCAAGTTGGGAAGCTGTTTGTACTCTTGTTCTAGATGGATACTCGATCAAGGTATATTAGCCATACCCCTTTGGTTGACATTACTTACTCCGTATTTAATTTGTTCTGGTAACTGATCAAACATTTTTCTTGGGATTTGAAGAATTTTTTTGAGCCTTTTACTACAAGGGGACTGCCACTGCAACCACCCCTACGACTAAATGTGGAATACTTGTTGTTGCGTGATGACCCACTAGAGTGTGACCTTTATGGGAATTACAAAGTACAGGGTGATATTTCTCGTACATTCATTCATTTGCTGCGTTTATGCCCAAATTTGCGCAAACTTCATATGGATGTATCGGTAATATTATTTAACTGGATAAGTTCATTAAATTTCTGTTTTTTCCAATAATTTAGTGCAACTTGGTTGTGAGTTTAGGTGAATGATGAGTTATTTTTTGTGGTATTGCTTTTTTGCAGATTATTGAAATGTTAGGGGATTGTTTAGGGAAAAACTCAAAACTTTCAGAGTATTTATGCAGTGTGGCTGTAAGACTTTACTTTCTTGATGCTATGATCTTGGGTGACGTCTCATACACAAGCTGTAGTGAGACTTGGCTGTCTGGGATCAAGGTGTTTCTTGCATGCTTCCCACGACTTCAGAAGTTTGTCATTGGAAAACACTTCAATCTCCAAACTACTAAGAAAATTTTGCTTTTTCCTCGTGCCTCCGCAAAAGTCAAAATAGTTTTCATTTAAGAACTGTATTGTATTCGAATGAATTGAATGTATGTATTGATATTTGTACTTCATGGGTTCAAGAATGTACATTTGTGTTGTTTGAGAACTCTTCTTGCCAGAGATTTGAGACATACTTAGCCAAGTTCATTCATTCTTTGGAATTTGGGGTTATGCCTAACCTTCTTTTTCTTGTTATTGCATCAGTACAGGATTTTGGAATGCTTTCACATTTACAGGCTCTTAGAATGGGTGATTAGTTGACTTTCGGTGTTTAGTAGATTTTGGAGTACATTGTAGTCTTGTAGAGAGACGGTTCAATTTGGAAAATCTTCGCTTTGTTTTAACTTCGTTTCTTGCACTGAGGAGAAGTGTCAGTAATCAGTATGATCATAGATTCATAGTGATTTAAAATTACTAAATAGATAAGTTACAAGTCAATGTTATTTAGCATTTGCACACTTGTTTTATTTTACAATTTTCAAATATTAATGATCTGAATACATGACAAGATCTTCGATCAGAATACTAGGCCTTTAGATTGGATATTACTCTGTATTTTTAGATTGTAAAATTAATTTACACATTACTTGATGTTAAGTTCTTTCCATTATTTGCAATGGAGCCAAAAATTCATTATTTTTTGGCTTGAGAATATGATGGAATAAAGTAAAATGGCTCACCAAACTGTCTGTTCTTCTTTATTATGAAGCAGCAGTCAGTCCATGTAATTTTGGACGCGATTTTCATTATGGGTCATCCGGAAACAGTCTCTGTGCTTTAGTACATGGGTAAAACTGCGTACATCCGACCCCCCCTTACACCATTGTTGGTGAGAGCCTTTGCGGCGGGGTAAATGACGATTGATGATTACTTGACGTTAAGTTGCGAAAAAGCCTCGAGTTCCATATAGCTCCAATGCAATTGCATTACCTGCTCGGCTGCTCTAATCTTCTTTGATCCTTTGAGACCGCACTTATAGAATAATGAGAATTTACCCAAAATAGGACTAAAAAGGTTTGGAAATTCCAAAACAGGATTGACATGTTTTTATTTCCAAAATAGGATTAATTACTGTCATGTTTTGGCAGTACCAAACATCAAACATGGCAGTATTTTCCAAACTTGACAGTAATTACTCCTATTTTGAGAATAAAAAAACATGGCAGTCCTATTTTGGAATTTTCAAACTGTTATAGTCCTATTTCGGGAAAGTTCCAAAATAGGACCAAAACAGTTTGAAAATTCCAAAATAGGACTGCCATATTTTTTATTCCCGAAATAGGAGTAATTACTGTCAAGTTTGGAAAATACTGCCATGTTTAAAGTCCGATACTGCCAAAACATGACATTAATTAGTCCTATTTTGGGAATAAAAACATGGCAGTCCTATTTTGGAATTTGCAAACCTTTTTAGTCCTATTTTGGGTAATATCTCTGTATACCACCACATGAACAATTTTTTTGTTTCTTTTCTATTTTAAATATGAATTCCTTTCCAACAAATTGTTTTATCTTTTCATGTAGGCTCTTTGGTGCTAACTACTCCTAAATAATTTTTGAAAAACTTAGAGCTCGTTTGGTAATACCCAAATTGGTTGTATTGACTGATTCTGCTTAAATTTATGAAATTCTGGTTGAAGTGACTGAATTGTATGATTCTACTGATTTAATAGAATTATATACTCCGTATATGATACTCGTATATTTTATTAATAAAATAAAGAAAGAGTTATATGCAAAAAACATCAAAAATGATTTTCTACAGTAACGTCAGCATACATAGTCAAAAAAACACTTTTTTTTTTGTTTTTTATACTCCAGGGGGTCTTGGGGAGGGGGGCTGGGGGAGTCTGGAGTAATAAGGGCTGAAACCCCCTATGTGCCTAACGGGTTTCGAACTCGAAACTTCTCACTAGGCACGGTATCCTCACAACCAGCTGAGCTGAAATGCTTCGTTAAACACCTTTTAACTTATTTTTTCTTATTAATATACTCCGTACAATTCAGCGGACGAAATAAAAAGTTACTTATTTATCTGTTTGATGAGACAGTTAACCTAGTCTTTAGGAGTTCTAGTTAACAAGGTCACCATACGAGCTTAATTTACCGGTTTGCCCTTCTTTGTTGAGTCTGTAGGACTAATCACAAATATTCTTCTACTTTAAAAAAAGGGATAAGGGTCAGTTTAGTCCTCGAAACTGCAAAAAGAGGTCAAATAAGTCCTTATATAGAAGATTCTGTCCGGACGTGCCATTTGAGGTGGCTCCCGGTGGAATTTTTTGATGAATTTTTTTGAGCATCTTATTCATTAAGTCTAGTTTACTCATACCAAATTTCAGATAAAAATTCAATCGGGAAGACATTCAAATGAATTCTTGAAGATAACTGTGCCGTTAAAAGCGTTGTTATCTTCAAGAATTCATTTGAATGTCTTCCCAATTGAATTTTTAGCTGAAATTTGGTATGAGTAAACTAGACTTAATGAATAAGATGCTCAAAAACATTTATCACAAAATTCCACCGGGAGCCACCTCAAATGGCACGTCCGGACAAAATCTTCTACGTAAGGACTTATTTGACGCCTTTTTTGCAACTTAGGACCAAACTGACCCTTTACTCTTAAAAAAAACAAGTATTCTTCAGCTCCCTCACATTTTTGGGTAGAGAGCTCTTCGTTTCTGTGGTCTAAAGTACTCTAACAAGGTTTACTCTCCACCTCCAGGCTCCAGCATAAGTTTTGGTGAGTCGACTAAAGTAGCTATCTTTGATGTCTGGTGAGTGGATTTAAGTATCATTTTAACTGTTAAATTGGAAGTTAAGCTTCGGATATTTCCCATCCTAAATATTTTTTTTCGTAAAACATAGCAGGGTTTCATTTTGGATTACAGATCTGTTCAGCTGTTCTCATCTCTTCGTGATCCCGATATTCAGGTTCACGATTGACATACTGTTTCAGAAGCAGACTTCATTCTAATCCCTATCCCCTATTTCAACCATCTTGGGGTTATGCCTTACTTATTTGCTCTTTAATTTTCATCTATCTTTAATTTATGGTGAGGAAAAGGAGAGATCGATTCAGTGAGCTTCCGGTTGATTTACTTGACAAGATTTTAGGATGCATGCCCATTTTGCACGCAGCTAGATTGGCTGTTTTGTCTACTCTCTGGAGAGATGCTTGGTTCAGTCTTACAGCACTCGACTTTGATGATGGCTTCTCTCGTCACATAAGTGACAAGTATAATGCACACTATGCTGATAGTGATAGAAGGACACAGAGAGCAATATATGACAATGATAACGTTGATATCCTGATTTCTATGAGTTTTTATATAATCAACAAAGTGCTGATGCATCACAATGGACCGATTCACAAATTTTGCTTTGGAGTTCACAATTTTGAGCGCGATTCACTTGGGTCACGAGTACTTGACATCTATCAATGGCTCACATTTGTCACACAAAAAGGTGTTGAAGAAATTCGCCTCAATTTTGATAAAGATGACGGATTCTTACTACCAAGCTGCATCTTTTCTTGCAAAACTCTAAGGAAGTTGCGCCTTTATGGATCATCTTATGACACATTAAGTGCCCCTTGTGTGTTACCAAATTTCACTTCACTTTATTTTGATGAAGTTGAATTTGAGCATAGTGGTCATACAATTGATGCTCCCATGCTTGAAAATCTGTCATTTTTCTCATGTTATGAAACGTTGTTCCATTTTAACGTTACTGCTCCAAGACTTAGTACGTTAACATTTCAAGGTTGTTCCTATGACCGAATCAAAGGTAATCTTCCAGTTAAATACTCGACTTGGGAATCTGTTAGTACCCTTGTTCTGGACGGCTACACAATTGAGGTATGTTAGCCTTATCTTTATTTTCCTTATCTTTTTCTCTTTTTGCATATGATATCATGGATTGATTCATGTTAGCCGACCCCGAAATCTTTTGGGAGTAAGGCTTGAATGTTGTTGTTGTTGTATCTAACATTTCTCTTTCCTTTCCAAGAATTTTTTTGAACCCCTTATTACTACAAGGGGGCACCACAACATCTGTCTCAACTACTAAATGTGGAGTACTTGATGTTGCTTGAAGACCCAGTAGACTGCAACATTGATATGCTTTTCGAAGTAGAGCATGATATTTCTCTTACATTCATTCATGTGCTGCAGTTATGCCCAAAGTTGTGCAAACTTCGTATAGATGTATCGGTAATCTTATTTTTTGGGATAAATAGGTCATAAATTTCTAGTTTTTCCCTCGATTATATGGCATTTGTTAATGCATGTCTGTTGTGAGTTTTAGTGATTGATGAGTTCAATTTTTTGTTTGGTTTTGGGTAGCTTTTTGAAGTGATGGAAGGTTGTTTAGGTACGCCGTCAGAATATTCAGGGGAGCTTTTACGTGTGGCTCAAACACTTAACTTCCTTCACACTTTGATTTTGAGTGGCCCCAACGTAAGGACTAGTGAGATTTGGCTCTCTGGGATCAAGAGGTTACTTGCATGTTTCCCAACACTTCAGAAGTTTGTCATTGGAACTCACTTCAATCTCAAAACTACAAAGGAAATATTGCATTATCCTCGTGCCTCCCCAAAAGTCGAAATATTTTTCATATAAAAAATGTGTCTCATTCTAATGAATTTAATGTAGATGTTGATTTGTAATTTATTTGTTCAACAATGCATATTTTGTTAATATGAGAATTCTAATATCGCGTTTGATATATTCAAAACAATTGCCATCTTCTGGCCTAAGATGGAGACTGTATTCTTGTCCATCAGTTTGCACCATTTGGGATCATGCAGTCACACTTAACTTAGTTTTTGTTTCTATTGCATCTATAAGTTATTTTTTTAATAAAGTTACCTATCCATATTCTCACATCTTGTATAAAGTAACTTCCTCCTGGTTTAGAACAATGTAATTGTTAGACCGAGCAAGAAAAAGGAGAGGAAATAATGACATAAAAAAAGAGACGATGAAAAAGTGAAAAACTATGCGGCCCCCATTTTTAGTGGCTATATTAGTAAATTTAAGTTAGTACGGGGTATATAATTATATATTCAATTTTACATTATAGTGAACACTGAACATGATGTATCCATAATAACTTTAGTCACATATTTTCCATCAGTTTAATTTGAACGAAATTATAGGAAAAACTTCAAAAAAGACTCACATTATGGTCATCCTACGTAAAATTAAGGTTGGATGCATCATGCATAGCATTCAGTTTTGGCTCGGTTCAGGTCTCCGGGCTAACCGTTCCTTGAACATTATTTACAGGAATCGGGATGGACTCGGGCCGGGCCAACCGGCCCGCTACTGTGCGGGCCCGGACCGGCCCGGTGAACCGGTTTGTTCCCGGTTCGGGCCACCCGGCCCGGCCGGTTCGGGCCCGGTTCGGGCCTCCAACGGTCATTTTTTTTAATTTTTTTTTATTTGTAAAGTGGCTTCTAGCCGTTGGGAGAGCTCCCAAACGGCTCTATAGCCGTTGGGAGCATAGGAGGGGGGTCTGGGGGGTTAGGGGGTGGGGGGGTGGGGGTGGGGGTGGGGTATACAAAAAAAAAAACTATTTATACTCCTATTTTCTATACATTTTTTACACCTCTTCTTCTACAACTCTTCCTACTCTCTAATTCTCTACTCTCAATCTCTCATATTCAATCATCTTCATTCTTCATCTTCTCCAAATTCTTTCTACATATATATAATTTATATAATTATTATATCTACTTATATATTAATTATCTACTTATAAATATATACTTATACACATTCATATTATAATTCTTTACACATTATATATACTATATATACTATACACATTCATATTTACTTGATATTTAATTATTATCCATACTATTGTTATTTACTTATATTTATATATTACATTTAGTTAATATATACTTATATATATATATATATATATATTAAAGTATTAAGTATAAGTGTATTACTCATCTTATAGTAATATACTTATATATTATATACTATAAACATTATATTATATATTACTTATAATATATTCACACATTATATATACTATATATACTTATACACATTCATATTTATTTGATATTTAGTTTGTATCCATACTATTGTTATTTACTTATATTTACATATTACATTTAGTTAATATATACTTATATATATATATATTAAAGGATTAAGTATAAGTGTATTACTCATCTTATAGTAATATACTTATATATTATATACTATAAACATTATATTATATATTACTTATAATATATTTACACATTATATATACTATATATACTTATACACATTCATACATTTTATAAAAGTAGTTAATTGTTAGACTTCTCATTTATCTATTAAATTAGTTAATTGTTACATTTCTCTACATTTCTCTACATTTCTCTTTAAAGAAAAAAAAAAAGTTAAAGTAGTATATTTTTACATTTGTCATATTAATATTAGTTAAAGTACTTAATTGTTTCATTTGTCATATTAATATTAGTTAATTGATACATTGCTCATTAAAGTAAAAAAAACTAGTTAATTTTTACATTTGTCATAATAATATTAGTTAAACTACTTAATTGTTACATTTCTCATATTAATATTAGTTACTTGCTACATTTCTCATTAAAGTAAAAAAGGTAGTAAATTTTTACATTTGTCATAAGGTGATATTAGTTAAAGTATACATTTCTCATTAAGGTAAAAAGAACTAGTAAATTTTTACATTTGTCATTTTATGAACTAGCTAAAGTAGTTAATTGTTAAATTTGGTATATTAATATTAGTTAATTGCTATATTGCTCATTAAAGTAAAAAAAAAAAACTAGTTAATTTTTACATTTCTCATATTAGTTAGTCACTTAGTTGCTACATTTCTCATTAAAGTATTAATTAGAAGTAGTTCGATTTTTATACTCATATTTTAGTTCGAATTTGTTATAGTTTTTTTAGTCACATTTTATTATTACTATTGTACTCATATAAAATATTTGATATCATTTAATATTTGTTCAATTTTAAAGATGGAGCGGGGTAGACATTCTGTAAATGTGGGTAATCTCCAACGCAACCGCAAGAGGGAGATTGCGTCGACTCGTCCTACTTCACGCAAAGGCAAAGGTAAAGCGCGGGCGGAGTCTTCTTTTCAAAGTCGAGATGACTTTGAAACGGATTACCAACGGAGAGATGATATGATGATGTCCGACGAGCATCTACAAAACCTATTGTCCCAAAACGATCCACGCTTTGCACAAGAACAACACATCCCGACAACCATTGATGAAGAGGAGCTCGAGGATGATGATGCGGAGGAGGACGCGGGGGGCGACGGGACTCACGGCACCCCGGATGATGAGCATGACTTGGAGGACGAGGGCGGTTCAACCCAAACTGGTAAGAAATCTGATCTAAATCTCCTATTATTGAAAACAATTTTACAAAAAGGAAAGACAAAAATACCGAAAAATGGTACGCAAGTTGCAATCATTGCGGCAAAGAGTATAGCTTGGGAACTTCTGGCGGATACGGGAGTCTCACAAGGCATCTTAAGTCCGTCCATCTTGTGGAGTATGTGAAAATAGACAAGGGCAAGGGGAAGCAAACACAAATATCGAGGTTTGCAAATTCTCAACCCTTTGGTAATTTCTCCTATGATGATCAAAAACATTTGACTGGTATGTCTCATTTAATTGTTGAAGAAAATTTACCCTATATTTTTTCCGAAAGTCTTGCTTTAAGAGATTATGCTCAAGGTACTTTAAATCCCCAATTTAGAAATTATAGTCGCAAAACGATTAAAAAAGAAGTTATAAGGCAATATAACTTCGAAAAAGAAAATTTACAAACATTTTTCGCAAACTTTAATGGACGTGTTAGTATTTGTAGCGATATATGGGAGGATACTTATCATCATTTATATTATTTGGGTCTTACTGCACATTATATTGATGATGATTGGAATATGCATAAACGTGTTCTTGCTTTTCGTGAATTCAATGATCGTCATACTGCTGATAATATTTATATTCTCATTGAGCATATTTTAATTGAGTATAATTTGCTTGATAAGGTGTTTGCTGTAGGTTTTGATAATGCTAGTAATAATACTGCTGCTATACCTAGATTGCGTGAATTGTGTGGTGCTTCTGCATTGATGGGTAGGTTTTTTCATCAACGTTGTGCATGTCATATTCTAAATTTGTGTGTACAAGATGGATTAGTGGCATTAGGAAATGCTTTGGAGGTAGTGAAGGGGGGAATTAAATTGATTTGGGCTAACACTCCACTAAAAATGCAATGAGGGCAATATTTGAAGGAAAGACGTGTCAATTATTGTGCTTTTCCTAAAGATTTGTCTATTCGTTGGAATAGTACTTATAACTTAATTCAAGTACTTATTAGATATAAAGAACATTTTCCTGCTTTTTTAAGACAAACTTGTAACTATATTATAAACCCGGCTGACATCGACACTTGTGAAAAAATTGTTAATGTTTTGATATATTTTAATAACGCAACTCAAACTTAGTCATGTTTATATACCTACCGCAAACGAATTTTTTGTTGAAGCTGTTAATCTCACCGGCGCTTTTTTAGAATTTTCTGATGCCGCTTACGTTAGTTATTTTTGTGATTTCATGAAACAAAAGTTTTTAAAATATTATTCACATGTTCCGCATATATATGGTATTGCATTTGTTCTTGATCCTCGTTATAAACTTGCCTCGTTGCCAAGTTGTATAGATTACTATTATAATTGTTTTTTTCCAACTCAAGAGTTCGATGATAATCCCATCGACCCTAAACAAGAATACAACGAGGTTAGTAATTTATTTCATCAATTGTATAATGAATTTCATGCACAGTATGGTAATGCACCCCCTCCCATGCCGCGAACATCTTCTTCATCTAAAGAAAAATCACTTTTAAAATCTGCATTTGGTTCTCTTATGAAAAAAAGTAGAGCAACTCCCGCTACTGAACAAAGCTCAGTTAACGAGCTTTCTTTGTATCTAACATTGAATGTTGATTATGAAGTTGGGGATGACTTTGACGTTCTTAAGTGGTGGAAGGAAAATGAAAGAACTTTCCCGGTTTTATCAAAGATGGCTAAGCAAGTGCTAGCAATGCCGGTATCAACAGTTGCCGTGGAACAAGAATTTAGTTCGGCCGGCAACGTCCTAACCGATTATAGAATGAGGTTGAGCCCGAGCTCTCTTGAGACGCTAGTTTGCTTCCACGATTGGTTGAAGGCCAAACGAAGAACTCAAGAAATGACCATCGCTCCCACCCGCCACTTTATGGAGGAAACAACCACCGAAGGCGGAGATTCCGATTGATTTTTTATTACAAAATGTATTACATTTTTTAAATGCATCCTAATTCTCAATTGTACTTCTTATTTGAAATAAATATACTTGAATTATTTTATAATATTGTGTACATCAATTCAATATTTTTCAAAAAAAATGTATTCAATAATCAATTCAATAAAATTAATTTGTAAACTTGTACTTCATATTTCAATAATTCTCATAAAATTTGTATTAATTTGTAAATTTGTAATCAATTCAAGATAATATTAATATGTAAATTAATTAATTGGTTACAAACTTACAAGTTACAACTTCAATATGTAATTTGTTTAAATACTTATACACCTATTTTGTAACATTTGTAAATTATAAATCAAATCACTTTTATAAGTAAAAAAAGTTTTACTTAATTCATTAAATTAATTAACTTATTTTACAATATGTATAATTTTCAAAAAAAAAAATTATAACATTTTGAAATACAAAATTGCTCCCAAACGGCTATATAGCCGTTGGGACTTAGGGTGGGGGGCAGGGGGTCCTGGGGGTGGTGGTGTGGGGGTGGGGTTCAAAAAAATCTATAAATACATCTATTTTCTACCATTTTTCTACACCTCTTATCCAACTCTTCTCCAACTCTTCTCCATATTCATCTTCTCTTATTATCCTACATTTCTACTTATACATCTACCATTTTAAAGATGGAAAGTAATTCTTCTGTTATGCAAAACAATTTTGATAAGTGGAAGGACCCGAAGACCGGACTGTGGTGGGCAACTTGCAAGTGGTGCAAGAAAGAGTGTTGCTTGGGACGTTCACACGGAGTCGGGATGCCAATAAAACATATGAAGTCATGTGACAAAGGCAAAACAACAACCAACGATGGCGGAAGTCCCAATTGATATTTATTAGAAAATGTATTTCATATTGTTATTGTTTTCTCAATTCTCAAATGTACTTCCTATTTCAAATAAATGCACTTGAATTTTGTTTTTAATAAGAATTATTATAATAATATAATATATAATTTTTAAAAAATATATATATTAGGCCCGGCCCGGCGGGCGGCCTGGCCCGTGAACCGGGCGGGTGACCCGGCCCGAACCGGACCCGGGTTTACCCGGGCCGGTTCCGGGCCTCCCAAACCTTGAACCGAGGCCCGGCCGGTTCACGGCCCGAACCGGGCCCGGCCCGAACCGGGTCCATCCCTAAATGGGGATCAATAATTTTTGTTTTGTCCCAGGTTTAATTTTTACGGAGTACTTTTCATCTTTCTAAGCACTCACCCCCTTAGCCCTCCCCAAGCCCTTTTGGAATTTGTAATGAACCTCCATCCCCTTTTAATTGCTTCCTAATGGGCATTATGAATAAAAAATGGGACTAGACCAGTTAGTTGATCCTAGTCCCTATTTGTGTCATCTGAGCTGAGATTGCACAACTTATATGGTACAACCAACTGCACCATGAGTATGGTACATCCGGGTAATTTTGTAACATGTGGGATCTCTGAGAATCTGAATTAAACTCACAGCTTATAACATATCTATAACTTTTCTTCGCCGATCGTCTTCTTCACCATTGTCTCATCGATCTGTCCTTCACCATTATCACGAAGAGCAAAGTTCCTCCATCGTTGAGATCGGTAAAGAGCAGGTCCCTCTTGCAGCTTGCAAGTTGATTCCTTCGAGGCTCACCTAGTCTCCCAATTGTCGACGCTCCAGTCCATCGAGATTCACGCGTCTCTATTTCGTCTTCGTTTCTCCATCTTCGGCGTTGCAAAGATTCTCATTACGTTGATGCTCTGTCTAGACTAGATTCTTGTGAGATTAACTTGTTAGATCGGTCCAACCCTCGAAAGCATCGCTCACGCATATGAAATGTTAACGCTTAAATGATATGAGCACAGACATATGATTATTTGAGAGATTTCAAATGACGTTTTGAATTTCTCGACGATCATTTTGTAACTCATGTATGCTCATTAAGAGACACTTGATTCCCCATTTGTTGTTTTCCTATTTGTACCCAACGATATTTGCATACCTTAAATGCAATTTTATTTGTCAATACGTTGGTGCTTCTTTATGTTATACTGATATGAGCATACACATATGAATATTTGAGCATACTAGAGATTTTAAATAATTTTTATTTTTATTTTTATTTTTTTTGTACTTATTTTGTAAGTTATGTATTGATACTTGATATTGGTGTTATGCTCATTTTAAAATGTCATATCCATACATATTTCAAAGTATTATATTACACTAGATTTATATACTCACTTGGATTCATTATAGATAATTTAAAAGAAAAAAGGAAAAAAAGGTGAATTACAATATATGAAGTAAATATCACAAATTCACGATGCTCAATATTAGACTTTTTAATTCTCGACAGAATGGTCTGATGCTCATTAAAATGCATTAATGTTCATTGAACGGAAGCCGCAATTTTCACTTAATTTACGGAAAAATGTCACCGGTTGTACGGTGCTAATCATACAACCGGTTGTACATGTACAGTATACGAACTCCTAAATTGGGCTCTAAATAACGACCCCTTATTTCAGTGCAGGATTGTAACCCAAAAATTCAAATCAATGAAAAACATCTTTACAAGAATTTTTTATTTAAATGATTGTACTATCTTAGCCATAAAACTTGTCAAATTTACTCCGTTTAATTATTTGTGAAACCTGTCACTTTTTCTATAATTCATAAAAGATTCTTGTTACTTTTATGAGTTATGTTTAACAATTAGATTGTTTTTGCTTAGACTGTTTTTAGACAAGACTAACAACGACATATCAGAAAAAACCAGACTTAAACATAGACTTAAACTAGTCTAGATTTAAATAGATCGGAGCGGATCAGATTTTGAAAATGATAAAATACATAGAGATCAAACATTTACGAAACAAAATCGAGCCAATTGAGACGAGACCAATTAAAATAGACTTAAATAGAACAAAGAAGACAAGAAAATATTAAATCTAATTAAAAACATCCTACACCCAACCCTATACAAACATTATTTCATTTAAGACTTTAAGAAGGTAAATTAGTCTTGCAATGATTTTACAAGTAGCAAGATTAGGGGTGGGAAAAATCCACGAAACCCGGAAACCAATTCTGGCTTGACCCGAATGATGTTCCCGGTCTGGATTTTTCTTTTTAACCGGCCCAAATTTAAAAACCCAGACCAAACCCGGAAATTCGGCTCATAAACGGGCACCGGAATCTATAACCCGGCCCAAACCGTTAAAAACCCAAAACAACTAACTTTAATATAAAATCAATATAATATACAAATCTACTTTATAAATAATTCCTGGTATCTGATTATAATCATGAAGGATGAAAAAATGACATAGTAACTTTTAGTGACTACACATATCTTCAACTTTGTATAGTAACTTTAGTCACATTTTAATCCATAAATTTTATTTAATAATGTTTTTAGAATGGCTAAAATATTTATTTATATGCATCTTAAACAAAATATTAAGATAACTACCTACTTTGGATTTGAATTGCTGAAGATTTTTTAAATCAATATTTGTGTTATTATTTGCACTTTGTATTTTTTTATTGAAGGAAAATGAGATGATTTCACGTTCAGGTTTTAACCGACTCAACCTGAACCCAGACCGAATCTGGACTATCAAAAACCAGACTCGGACCAAATATAACGGGCTTTGTTCCCGTCCATAATTTTCACAATCTAAGACCATGCATACAGGTAATTTCTGGGATTGTATTTTTGATTAAAGGAAAATGAGATGATTTCACGTTCGGGCTTTAATCGACTCGACCTGAACCCAGACTGAATCCGGACTACCAAAATCCCGACTCGGACCGAATATAATGAGCTTCGTTCTAGTCCTTAATTTTCATCCCAAGACCATACGAGTAATTTCTGAGTTTAGCAAAAATCCAATCCAGATCAAACTGATCTCACCTTTAAACAAGAGAGGGGTGTGTGTAGCAAGTGTCAATCACTTGTTATATTGAAGCATTCTGACCTACACTTTATTTAGTACACTAATATATCGACTCTTACTTATGCATTCTCCATTCACATTCGCCTTCAATTAAATCATAGCGCCCTCGTCGCTCTTAGGGATGGCAATGTGGCGGGTTTGGGGCGGGGTACACTCCCCTATCCCCACCCCATGCCTAAAAAGTTCCCCCCATCCCCGCCTCATCCCCCATTACTCCCAGACCTGCCCCATCCCTGCCCCACCCCATTGTCCCCAACGGGTGCCCACGGGTGCCCCCATATAAATTTAATTTATCGTATTTGCATATACTTTTTAATATCTTATTATAAATATATGTAGTGCGATTCCAATGAAAACGATGCTTAACGTGGGAACACTCACATTTAATCCAATATATTACACAATAATCCAATGTGACACACAATAGAGCCATTGTAGTTCACATTTGGACTTCGCTCAATAATAAATAATCAAGGTGACACTTTTGTAAATATTGTGCTAGATACAAAAAAGTGTATTGTACGAGTCCATTGTGCTTCACATTGGGAGTAAATGTGGTGTTCGCACGTTCTCATGTCAAACGGTGTTCTCATTTGATCCTAAGCCTATATATATATATATATCTACGCACACACACAGTGATATATGACACACACACACGCAACACTGAAGTATTGTGTTTGTTAAAAGTTAATACCACCAATTTTAATATAATAATTTTTCAATTTGAATAAGTTTTGTGAATTGAATACAATTAAAGTAAAAATATAAGTAAACATATTATCATCATGTACGTTGTTTCAAAATTCTCAACAATTATAATACAATTAATTACATATTATATTACATATAAATGTTTGTGTATTTATTTACTCACTTTCTCACTCTTAAAACTCATATACAGAGTAACATGTATGATAAATATTTTTAATCATCACTAGCTTATTATTATTCTAGTATAATATGTATTAATTCATTAACCATGATTAAACCGTATACAATTATGTATGTCTATATGTATATGCGTTTGTTATATACTACAAATAATTTAATTTAATGTGTGTACATTATTTATATATGTGTATATATATGTTTGAGTATATATTTATAACGGGGACGGGACGGGGACGGGGCAGGTGTAGCAATATCCGTCCCCCACCCCATATTTTAATGGCGTAAAAATATTTCACCCATCCCCGCCCCCACCCCGCCCCAAGCCCCGCCCCATCCTTCCCCCGCGGGGAGGTTCCCCACGGGTCCCCTCCCCCATTGTCATCCTTAGTCGCTCTTATATCTCTAGGTCCAGTTGCAAATTCTTGACGATGTGCACCTTCTAGTATTTTTTTTTTAATTTCTGGAAACTTCAAAAAATCGGAGTCGGCGTTAGACGCCATGCCCCAGCTGTGCTAACAGAATTGAAACACATGTCCCACTTTGTTAAATTTAACTATAAAATAAAACACTTATACAATGTCTGAATAACTGCTCTATGTCAATGCGGACAGAGAGCATAATATAGAGGACTCCAAGAATAAATGTCTTGCAGATGTTAAAAGAATATTACTACCTCCGTTCAATAATGGTTGTCCACTTTCAATTTGGCACGGTTATTAATAAAGTGGTCGAAAAGTAAAAGTTGTTGTTGAGATTTGAATAGAATAAAATAAAATGATAAAGGCCACATATTTTTGCCAAAAAAGGAAACAAGACATTTATGTTGGGACAACCTAAAAGAAAAGTAGGACAACCAAAATGGGACGGAGGGAGTACGGAGAAATGAAAAAAGTCTTGCAAATATAGTACTCTAAAGATGATTGCCTATAAAGATGATATCCTCACTTATATGTGGAATCTTCTCTGTCACACGTTTCACCTTTTTCATCTTCAATGTTTTTTTACTGCAGTAAAGGCTGAAAGCATAGCTTGAAAGCATAGCTTTATAACGTACCCTGAGGATGATTGCCACATGAATAGATCCTTGTAGCATTGGATAGTTACGGGTTTTAATTTGTAAAAGTAGAAATTTTATAATGTTTGGATCTTTTAAAGATAAGGAAAAATTAGGATAACATTCGAAGTGGATTGATCCTCGACATAAACTAGACTCTACAGAACTTATTATGAAGTCCTGCAAATCTAAAAATCATGCATCTCTTAAGACAAAGTATAGATGTGTTTAATCCCTCCCTAGTTAAAGGTTTGATGCCGACCTGGATAAGGCCTATATGTACAAAATTGTATTTTCTGTCAATGGGTTTTTGTATTGTTTTTGGGAAAGAAGATTTTTATAATGAAATCAAATGGTTTTGAAATCGGTACATCATTTATTGAAAGAATGACAAAAACACGGGGGTTTTGAACAAGCCATGCAAAAAGACGGGAGTTCCTCTTAGGGTACTAAAAGACGGGATTCGGAATACAGAATTCCGAATGAATTAGGTTGGTCTCACACTTTGATTCGGAAGTTCCAATTCCGAACGAGAGAAGATTTTTTTTTAAAATGTGACTTCCAATTCGGAAGTTGGATATCCGAATGAGTAAAAGCCTCCAAAATACGAATGTATTATTGAGCTCCAATGCTCCATGATCCCAATCATAAGTTTCCAAAAAAGAATGAAGCTACGTGTTTGCAATTCATCCACATTTTCTACATACAGCTATGACATACTCCGTATAAAAAGAATGCGTAGCTACGTGTTTGCGTCCCCAACTTCTTCGGCCCATCAATCTTGGAGATCTTCCTTATGTAGGTATGATTCCAATTTAATCTTAATAATTAAAATGTTGTATGTTTTTTTAATTTTTTTAAGCATGGTGAAATGATGTTTGTCAACAATAAATATAGGTGGGTCGGACCCCATTCATTTTCAGAGGGTGGAAGACACGCGTTGCCCGTTTTACGAGACCTCTTAGACCGCATGAGGGAGAGTCAAGTAGTAATTTGAATTCTACTTTTAATACAATTGTCTTTTAGTACGAGCTATCTCATTATTGTTTAATTAACATTATACTTTTACAGTTTGTATGGACCCCCTATCCCTTGGGCAATCTTCCTGAAGACACAGAAATCAATCCAGGCTTTGGTTTGCTGAGGTTATGCTAATTTTTTTGCGATTATGCAGAGAGGCATTACCCCGACCGGTTTTGTCGGCAGTTCTTTGCCATTCAGAGAGAGCCAAAACCCACTTTCCAACGTACAGACCATCACATCATTAGCTCCTGCGCTAGTGCAGCTTCGTTAGCATTGTGGGCGGAACGAGATAGGCATTTATACGAACCTACATGGCCCCCTTTTGACGGGCGGAATGTGGCTGATGGGTATCGTACGTGGTACGCACGGACCGGTTGGAAACGTGTCGTGAACCCTTCGCATGCTACACCCACGACGGGCTACACCCCTGCAATACGTGAGTTGGGTGTTACGATAAGTTTCTAATTACATACGATACTCATTAATAAGTTTTCCTTTATAATATTTACACTAATTGATTTTTATTGCAGTTGGAGTGCATTCATGATACCTATCAGCTTGCTGATAATTTGGCCGATCACGAGGATATTAAACATCGGCTAGCACAGTGTGTTATAGCATTAGATGTAGAAGATGTGCTCCACCAAGGCATCTTCCATTACCCAGATGCAGACAATGAGCCCGGTCCCATACCTCCTCCTAGGCAAGATCGCCGCGGTTACGTTGCAACGCATAGAGTGGCAGCTGCTGACAGAGATGATGCGGGAGATGAAGATGAATATGAAGAAGATGAGGACGAGAGTGATAGGGATGAAGAATATGAGCCACCGCCATATTCTACTCCTAAAGAGTACTATACGTCGACTGAAGCATAACGTGTTCCGAATAACGTGTTTTGAAAAGTCGTGCATTAGTATCACTTATACGGTAGGTATGTATCGTATAATGTATTAGTGTGTATCTTTTAATTTGAACTATTATAATTAATCAATTTATGTATTAGTGTGTGTTTGTATACTAAGGATGTTTTCTTTTGGACTGAAATTTGCTGGTCTGGTCTGAACTGGTCTGGTCTAGTCTGGTAAACGTCTGGTCTCTGTGTATTTTATAACTATCCAAGTCTGGTCTGGTCTGGTCTGTTTAAGTTTGGTCTGGTCTGGTCTGTTTAAGTCTGGTCTGGTCTGTTCTGGGACTGAAAACAGTCCAAAAGAAAACATCCTAATAAGAAATTTTAAACGGGTCTTCAGTCCTGAACGAGTCCGATCATATGTACCATATCCGGTTTATTAAAATACCAAGGTGTCTAGTTTATACTACTATATTTTTCGAAAGGGGGTCCAATTTATTCATTAATTAAAAATAGCTTTATATCAATTTAAGTTGTATCACTAAAATAAAAATAGAAATTACCATTTCGAACTCCATCATCCGAATGGGATAACAAAAAGTGAAAAAAATTGATTTGGAACTCCAACTTCCGAATGGATTAAAAAGCAAAAAAAAAAAATTGTTTCGGAACATGGGTTTCCGAATGGGTGAGTTGCGCCTAAACCCTAATCTATTCGGAAGATGTGTTTCCGAATTCCGTATTCTTAGAAATCCCATGTTTTTTCCCGTGTTTTACCTTGCATGTTGGCTTTTCCCGTGTTTTGAGAAAACGCCCTCATTTATTTCTTCCGTTTTTATAATGAAATCAATTTTTAGACTGTTCTTGAAAACTCCAATTTCATAATCTTGGCCTTTTTTAATTTTTGGGATGCACCGGTTATTAATTGACTTTTGGAGTCTTCAATAGTGATTTATTTACTATTGATTGGGTTTCTTTGTTCGTCAGGGTTTTGGGTAAAGGAACTTGAAAGAGAACAACTTGTATGGAATAAATAATTCATAATTAAATTTTCTCCTTAACTCAAAGAAACTTTCAAAGGATTTACTGCATTAACGCGGGAAATTTGTTAAAAGAGTCCTGTAACTTTGGTCAATAGCCGATATTGATCCTATAACTTTACATACTTGCAAAATACATCCTTCAACTAATATATTTGTTCAATTTGAGGACATTGCCGTCGGAAAGTTAAATTTTGGTCGGAAAGTTACATGTCAATCTCTCGTTGTTGTAATCTTTTCTAACATTTGCAGCTGACTTGGATGTGGGCCCCTTTTACGACTTATTCCCAAACCCTTCATTGTGCTCTGATCTCCCAAATCCCCCATTAGAACAATAAAAGCACAAAACCTAAGAGAAGAACGGAGGCTTCGTAATTCTTGGTCCGACTTCTCCACATATGGAAGGAAGGTGAGTGTGTGTTCCTCTAAAGTGCAAATAATGGCTCAGACAAGGATATATGGAATATCATTGTGGTAAGAAGGCCGGTGTTTCAACTTCATAGACTGATATATGACGAGGGAAGGAGGTTCCATGTGTGCTCCAGAAACAGAGTAAGAACTCTAAACTTTTTAATTTTGTAGGTTTCGAATTTTGTTTGAAAAAATTAAAGATTTTATATGTAGTATTACTTTGATATTAGAGAAAAAAATTCTAATGTTAAAGGTTCTAACAAGACATTGGAACAAGAATAACAGTTGATTAGCAAAACTAACAAGTTGTCTTTTACCTGGACTGTTTCTATGGTTACAAATGGAGGCTTTTAAAATTGATAAGTGTCAAGAATTTTTTTAAAAAAAATAGCCTGAAGTGGAGTTTTTTCTTTATGTTCATTTTTACAATTTCGTATTTGGAATTTATAAGAAATAAATTGAAGATGTATTATCTACTACTCCGTATTCAGTTTAATCTAGCTATTTTTTTTTAATGTTTTATGAATAAGAGAGTGTTTTCTTTATGTGCAGGATGTTTTAAAATAAGGAGTGTTTGGGAGGGAACCAAAAACAGGGTCTCAAGTCCAGGTCAGCTAGGCCATATGAAAAAAATACGAACAATTGACGCTGATGTGTTAATTTCTGGCGGAATTATTACTTTCCGACATAAATGTCCTGAAATTGGACAAATAAGTTAATTAGAGGACGTATTATGCAAGTAAATGAAGTTAGAGGACCAATATCGGGCACCACCAAAAGTTACGGGACTAATTTTACAAATTTCCCGCATTAACGCATATCCCCTCTTCGGGGGTGTGGTTCAACATGGGACTTATTACCCAGAAACTATTATTCATTTATTCTTCAAATTAATTTGACAATCTAAATACGCAGGAACGGATCCAGGATTTTGAGTCAAGGGGGGCGAAATTTTTTGTTAGTGTAGGGGGTGAATTTTTTTTTTGTTAGTGTAGCGGGGTGAAATTTTTTCCCCTAGTGTAGCGGGGCGAATTTTTTTTGCTACTGTAGGGCTATGCGGCTATTTTTATTCAAAAAATGACATTAATACTTGTACATCCCCAACCGGCATTTAAATCTATTACATTCTAAGTTTAGACAATGCCAAAGACATCAACCAATACATTTTTAATAACTTCTACATTGTTTAACCTCATGAATCAGTTATTGAATTGTAATTTTTGTCCACCAAGGAGGGTGTTCGTGAGTCATGACTCATGAGAAGTTTTCTTAATATTACAATAGTAGTATACTAGTATGTATGAGATTGTTATTTTTAGAATAATATGCATCACATACACACACACACATATATGGTGCATATTATATTTTAATTTTTTTATTAATTCTATAATAATTTAAAGTTTATCATCTATTCATGCAGTAAATTATTTTTAGAAAGCAAGAAGTAAATGAATTATGTAATCTGATGTCTATAAATATTTATATTTTGGATTCATTTCACGTGATCTAAAAATTGTGTAATTAGTGTGTCTAGTATTTAATATTGTTTGATATATGTTTTACAAAATCTTGTACTTGTTATCTAGTAAAGATAATTAAACATTACAAAACTAGGAATTCTTATATAATAAGTATCCTAAATCTTAAATAACGAGTTACTCTATTGTTTATTTGTTTAAGTTATGTAAATTATTTTAGATGTTTCTTCTTTTAAATCTTCAATTAAGTATTACATTATGTAAGACTATATACTAATTTTGAAAATTAAAAGCTAAGGGAGGGGGGGGGGGGGAATATCATTAAATTATGAAAGTTTTATGAAAATATTACATATATGGTAAAAAAAATTGAATGTCCAAGGCCCCCCCCCCGCCCCCCCCCTAAATCCATCCCTGTAAATACGTAACTTATTAAATTAAACTTCTTACCCTCGTGGCTCTGGTACTAGATAAGCCTCAAGTTAAAAATTATATTGGCGTAGTTATCTTCAAAAAGTTATTTGACTATCTCTCCGGTTGAGATTTCAGCTGAAACTTGTTGCGTATAAAGTATACTTTATCATGAACATTCCTAAAAAAAAACTTCATTAGAAAATTTCTTCAGGAAGGCCCACAAATTGTCTCAACTGAACGGCATTTACGGTCAGGAAGTCCTGATTGGAGAGAGAATTTGAGCGGATCTCCCTCGAAGATCCTGCTCACGAAGTGATGGAAAGGGGAGGCTCTTCTGCGAGCCAAATCTAGTCCACCGCTGCTTTCTTTAATGGTTTCCCCCTCCTGAACCTCCCGATCGAGCGGGCTGAGGAGTGTGTAGCCTTGACTGCCATGAAGGTACTTCTTCTCCCGTGTTTTCTTTGCTTCCAAGTTTTATTTCACATTGAGTGCTAATCTTTCTTCTATTGATCGATCATGCACAGATGGGGATTTACAGTCTTCAGCTTCGTGAGGCAAGGCTGATCAAGGCGAGGGAGCTAATCGTGGCAAGGGAAAATGCCGAACACGCTTCTTCTTCTTCTTCTGCCCAGGCCGCTGAGGTCGAACGGCAGGTGTTCGCTGATGAGCGCGAGAAGCTCGAAACTGAGCTTAGGGAGCTTCTTGTCAAGGTGGACTCCCTCCAGGCACAGGTTGCAGCCGCCGAAGCTGTCCAGGTTAAGTTTTCAGAGACACCCTCTCAGACCATTTATATGCACCCGTTGGTCACCCGATCCACCCGATAACCCCCTCATGATGGATGTGTTGGATGTGGATGTAATTTTTAATGGATGATGGACGGATGAGTGGAATATGAAAAATTAATGGGTGGACGTGGATGAGTCTTCACCCGGTATAAACCTGACCCGTTGCCACTCGTAGCAAAGTGTCACCCGTACACGATGCCAGAAGAGATATAAACACAAAAACAATTAATTAATAAAAAATTTATCACATTCTTTCCACAATGATAAATTTTGACTAGAATGATCAATATTTTAGTTAAAGGCTATTCTAGGAAGCATATGTCTCCTAGATCTATGATCAAGGTGGATCTTAGGAAAGCCTATGATACCATCTTGTGGGATTTTCTAACTAATATTTTGTTGACTATTGGTTTCCCCAAACGCTTTGTTGATTGGATTATGGAGTGTGTGTCTACATCCTCCTTTTCCATCTCCATTAATGGGATTCTTCATGGCAACTTCAAAGGAAAGCGGGGACTTCGACAAGGGGATCCTATGTCCCCCCTTCTTTTTGTTATTTGTCTTGAGTACTTTTCTAGGCTTCTTCATAATAGGACCAAGGATCCTTCTTTTAAATTCCACCCGAAATGTAGAAAGCTTAACATTTCTCATGTTGCTTATGCGGACGATCTTATGCTCTTTTCTAGAGGGGACTTTCCCTCTATTAAAGTGCTCATTGATGCTTTGGACGAATTTGGGAAGGCTTCTAGACTTATGGTAAATTTTGAGAAGTCTAATATTTTCCTTGGTGGTCTGGCCAGTCATGACCTTGCATACATCCTGGATATGATTGACTTTAAGGAGGGTACCTTCTCGGTCAGATATTTGGGGATACCCTTGGCACCTCTTAAAATTTCTGTGGCGCAATATGCGCCCTTACTTGACTCTATTACCAACTATATTACTGCTTGGAATACTAAATCTCTTTCTTATGCTGGTAGAGTTGAGCTTATCAAGTCGGTCGTTCAAGGTGTTCAGTCTTTCTGGCTACAAGCACTCCCTATTCTTAAGGTTGTACCGGATAGAATCACTTATATCTGTCGTATCTTCCTTTGGGGGTGCAAGTATGCTAGGGTGGCTTGGGCGGATATTTGTCTTCCTAAAGAGGAAGGTGGGCTTGGTATCCATAACACTCATATTTGGAACTCAGCCCTCCTGGCTAAAACTCTATGGGACATCCATATCAAAAAAGATAATCTTTGGGTGAAGTGGATTCATGGCGTCTATCTTAATGGTAGAGATGTTTGGAAGTTCACACCGCATAATAGGGACTCCCAACTGATCAAGAAGCTTGCTTTGATCAGAGATCATATTTTGTCCCATTTTGACAATACTTATGATGCAATTGTTTATCTCAATGGCTGCCAAACCAATGGTAAACTATCCTCTTCTAAGGTGTATGACCTCCTCAAAATTAGGGGGAACCTCATCGGTGGATGTCTTTCATTTGGAAGAACTATATACCTCCTAAATTCTCTTTCGTGGTTTGGTTAGCTTTTCGTAATCGCATTGCTACGTGCGATAATTTGTATAGATTAGATGTTGTTAATATTTGCCCTTTTTGTAAGGGTGGTCCGGAAACGGTACCACACCTTTTCTTTATGTGTCCCTTTTCAGGTAATATTTGGAACAGGGTTAAAAGGTGGCTGGAAATTCCAAGGGAAATGAGGACTTTGCATAGCTCGATGAGATGGATCAAAAGGATGCGGCAGGGAGCTGGTATCAAGGTTAAGACGGCTAGGATTGCCTTTTGCTACTCCATATACTGGATCTGGAGGACTCGGAATGCTACTTTATTTAATGGTTTAATCCCCAAGGAGGAGGATGTTTTTGCTTGATATACATTTTCGGCAAAATGTCATTGGGGCCGTTGGGCTCAAGCTTTTAGCTATGGAGGTGAAAGTTGCAGAGCTTCTCTCCCCTTATGCACTTGGTCAAAATAATGAACCAAGAGGATGGGGAGATGTCCTTTTTGTCTCAATAGACCAATGAGTGTGGAAGGGAGGTCCACCTCAAGTCTCTTCACACCCAACCCTCCAATCTCTAGCCCATACCCTCTCTTCAAGCATTATTTGGTTGTCTCAAGTTGACTTTCACTTTTATTTTCATTTACATTTACCTCAGTGCCGCAAAGGCTCCCACCTACAGTGAGGTAGGGGGGGTCGAATGTACGTAGTCTTATCCATGTACTAAAGCGTAGAGAGACTGTTTCCGGATGACCCATAGTGAAAATCACGTCCAAAATTGCATGGACTGACTGCTGCTTCATAACAGAGAAGCGTAGACAGTTTAGTGAGCCATTTTGCTTTATTCCATCATAATCTCAAGCCAAAAAATAATGAATCTTTGGCTCCATTGCAAATGATGGAAGTTGCCTCAAGTTGACTTTGAGAACAAAAAAACATGGGGTGTCCCCCACTTATGTGGGAGGTCATCTTTTTATTTTGGATGAAATATAAGTATATTAAAAAGTCACCCAAAAGGACAAGGGTTCAAACCTGTACAAAGGGAAACAAAAATGCAAGTTATCCAACAAGGATAACCCAACCCTTCAAGAAAGGCAAGCAGGATACTTATAATCATTAAATATTAAAAAAAATTATGATACTTATAATATAACGGTTATCCCTTACAAAAAACAAAAAATATACTCCTTCCGTCCCTGAAAATACTTCCAACTTTCCCTTTTCGTCCGTCCCAAAAAGACCCTCACATTCCCTTTTTGGTAAAGAATTTGTGGTTCACAACATTTTTCTTTCCTCTGCACAACTCTTCACCAAACAATTCTCACTTTCTTAATCCACGTGCCACTTTATTTTGGAAGTAAATTCAGGGACAGAGGTAGTAACAGTTATCAATATTAACCTCTTATATTATATACTATCTCTGTCCCGTTGAAAGGTTCCCATAAGAAAACGACACGGTTATTTAGACAATAATTAAATAAAGTATTTCGAGTATATTTTGAGAAATAACTTTAATTGGTATATATAGGACCTTTCAATTTACCCCTATTCGTTGAGAAATGCATTCTTCATCTCCCTCACATTTTTGGGTAGAGCCCTCTTCGGTTCTGTCAATCTGTCGTCCGGAATCACTCTCCGCATCCAGCATAAGCTCGGGTGTGTAGAAACACTTTGAGTACTCTGCTAAACTCTGCTAAAGTAGCTCTCTTTGATGTATACTCAGTGGATGGAATTACCAATTTAAATATTTGAATTGAAAGATAAGGTTTGCAAATTTCGCATCCTAAATACAGTAATTTTCGTAATACATGTACTTAAAACTCAATATTTTAATAGTAGGTGTTGATTTTAGATTCAAGATCTGTTTTTATCTCTTCCTGATCCTGATATTCATGTTCACGATTGACATATTCAGTTTGGGGTTATGCTTAACATATCTGTGCTTTAATTTTCATCTATCTGTGCTACTTAGATTATGGCAAGGAAAAGGAGAGATAGATTCAGTGAGCTTCCGGTTGATTTACTTGACAAGATTTTGGGATGCATGCCCATTTTGTACGCAGCTAGATTGGCTGTTTTGTCTACTCTCTGGAAAGATGCTTGGTTCAGTCTTACAAAACTCGACTTTGATCTTTACTTCTTTTGTCACATAAGAGAAAAGTATGATGCGTACTATGATGATAGTGATAGATGGACCTGGAAAGCAATATATAAGAATCCTAAGATTGATATGGTTGTCTCTGAGAGTATGTATATAATCAACAAAGTCCTGATGCATCACAATGGACCCATTCGCAAATTTTGCTTTGCAGTTCAGGTTTATTCCCTCGAACCACTTGGGTCACGAGTATTTGACATCTATAAATGGCTCAATTTTGTCACACAAAAAGGTGTTGAAGAAATTCAGCTCAATTTTGATACACGAGATGGATTCTTACTGCCAAACTGCATCTTTTCCTGCCAAACATTAAGGAGGTTGCGTCTTGGTGGATCGTCTTATGACACAATAAGTTCCCCTTGCATTTTACCAAAGTTCACTTCACTTTTTTTTGAAAACGTTGACTTTGAGCGTAGTGTTCATACAATTAACGCTCCCATGCTTGAAAATCTGTCATTTGTAGCATGTCGTGAAACTTTGTTCCATTTTAACGTTACTGCTCCAAAACTTAGTACGCTAACATTTCAAGGTTGTTCCTATCACCAAACCAATGTCAATATTCCAGTTAAATACTCGACATGGGAATCTGTTCGTACTCTTGTTCTTGATGGTTACTCAATCGATGTATGTTCGCTATACCCCTTTTGATGACCTTACTATTTAAAATGATTTTAGTAAGGGATCTAACTTAACATATTTCTTTCCTTTCCAAGAATTTTTTTGAACCTCTTACTAAAAGGGGGGCGCCACAACATTCATCTCAACTTCAACTACTATACGTGGAATACTTGATGTTGCTTGAAGACCCGCTAAAGTGCGACCCTGATTCGCTTCTAATAGTAGAGCATGATATTTCTCCTGCATTCATTCGTGTCCTGCAGTTATGCCCAAAGTTGTCCAAACTTTGTATAGATGTATCGGTAATCTTCTTTTTGGGGATAAATAAGTCTTAAAATTTCTAGTTCTTCCCATAATTATCTGACATTCGTTAATGCATGTCTGTTGTGAGTTTAGTGATTGATGTGTTCATTTTTTGTTTGCTTTTGTGTAGTTTTTTCAAGACATGGAAGGTTGTTTAGGTACGCCATCAGAACTTTCAGGGGAGCTTTTACGTGTGGCCCAAACACTTAACTTGCTTCACACTTTGATTTTGAGTGGCCCCTACTTATGGAATAGTAATTTGTGGCTCTTTGGGATCAAGGGGTTACTTGCATGCTTCCCAACACTTAAGAAGTTTGTCATTGGAAGAGAATTCAATCTCAAAACTAGGGGTGGGTTCGGTTTATGCGGTTCGGTTTTGACCTAAAACCAAATGTAGAATCAAACTAAAAACTTCGGTTCGGTTCGGTTCGGTTTGTTCATATTTTTTGTCCAACCACGGTTGATTCGGTTCGGTTTTGTTCGGTTCGATTTCGGTTTTTTCGGTTTTAAACCAAAAGACACATACTTTCTGAAAAAAGAAATGACGTGCAATTGTGCAAAATAACCAAAGTGCAGGAAAATAAAACAAAAAGTACTGAAGAAAGTCAATTCCTGTCTTACGAGACGGGACGAGAGCTTTTTTCAGAATGACTACAATTTAAATAAAGTGCACTAAACATTAGTGCATGACACTTAAAAGTTAAGCGTATTAAACTTGGATATAGTGCAGCAAAATAAAATGTAGTCTCAACTGAAATCAAAATGAAATGCAGTCCCAAAGGGAGATCCGCTCATTTTTGCTTCACATCTTGAATCGAGAGAGCAAAGTGGAGAGCGGGTATTTGTGTGGAGGAGTGATCTATTATTATTATTATTATTATTATTATTATGAAAAAGAATTTTATTATTATTATTATTATTATTATTATTATTATTATTATTATTATTATTATTATTATTATTATTATTATTATTATTATTATTATTATTATTATTATTATTATTATTATTATTATTATTATTATTATTATTATTATTATTATTATTATTATTATTATTATTATTATTATTATTATTATTATTATTATTATTATTATTATTATTATTATTATTATTATTATTATTATTATTATTATTATTATTATTATTATTATTATTATTATTATTGTTATTATTGTTGTTATTATTATTATTATTATTATTTTTATTATTATTATTATTATTATTATTATTATTATTATTATTATTATTATTATTATTATTATTATTATTATTATTATTATTATTATTATTATTATTATTATTATTATTATTATTATTATTATTATTATTATTATTATTATTATTATTTTCCCTGGTCTTTTTTTTCGTGTTTTTTATTCTTTTATCCTTATATATATAAACATTATTTTTACCCTTTAAATTTTATCATTTTTATGTATATTCATTCCGTTTTATATTATCTTTTTTTATAATAGCTTATTTTTTAATATTCATTTTCTTTCTTTTTCTTTTGGTAGTGATATCATGTATCGATTCATGTTAGCCGACCCCAATTTCATTTGAGACTAAGGCTTAGATGTTGTTGTTGTTGTATCTTGAATCGATCTACCATGTCTTCGACGGCGGCTCCTTTTTTTGAGAGCTAAGCCTCTTACATTTTAGGTTAAAAGATTATGGAGTACTGGACTCGTAAAAAGTCTCTTACGCTTTCGGTCTTGAGCGTTGACCACATGACCGGCCATATACTCCATATAAAATAAATGATTTTTTATATTTTTAAATATTTCGGTTTTTTCGGTTCGGTTCGGTTTTGAGGAGTCAAAACCGAAATCGAAACCAAACATGTTCGGTTCGGTTCGGTTTCTTATGTTCGGTTTCGGTTTTTCATCGGTTCGGTTTATTTGGTCGCGGTTTGATTCGATTCGATTCGGTTTTCGGTTTTCGGTTCTACGAACCCACCCCTACTCAAAACTATCAAGGAAATATTGCATTTTCCACGTGCCTCCCCAAAAGTCGAAATAGTTTTCATCAAAACACGTGTCTTATTCTAATGAATTTCATCTAGATGTTGATTTGTAATTTACTGGTTCAACAATGTATATTTCTTTGGTTTGAGAATTCTAATATCGCGCTTGATGTTCATATTCAAAACAATTGCCATCTTCTTGCCTAAGATGGAGACTGGAATCTTGGCCATCAGTTGGCACAATTTGGGAATTTGGAATTATGCAGTCGCGCTTAACCTAGTTTTTGTTTCTATTGCATCTATATGTTATTTTTGAATACTTGCACAAGTTAGAATAGCCGATTTGACGATTTGTTGACTTTTTGAAGTCCGTAGAGATAGTCGGTTTAGTAATTAGTATTAGAGATACCTATTTTGATTTCACTTTGTTCTTATATAACAGGTATGTGGATTCTCATTCTCACAATGAAAAACTTACGTATTCATATTCTCAGTTAAAAAGAAAATATTGGAGGGGACAGGGTCCACGCCGTATGTATTCTCTTTAGATTTTTTATGTAAAGTACCTTCCTCTTGGTGTAGAACAAATATACTTCGTATTGTTCGTAATTGTTAGACCGGGCAAGATAAAAGGAGTAACATTAGTGTCGCTGGGCATTATTTATAGGAATGAATTTAATAAAGTCAAGAAGGAATATCTTGAATTGCTGGAGAAGGAAAATGTATACTGGAGACAAAGAGCGAAGGAGTTCTGGCTTCAGGGTGGGGACCTAAATACACGTTATTTCCATAATTCGGTCATAATACCGTTCTTCTTGGCCCAGTTAGCAGGTCTCCGGGCCGCAGATGGTAGGTGGGAAACAGATCGCAGTGAGGTCGGCAGATTAATTGGAGATTATTTTAATCATCTCTTTACTGCAGGGAGGGGTAGTGCCGACTTTGTGTTTGGTTGTGTTGAGCGGCGGTTTGATGCTGATCATAATACCGTTCTTCTTGGCCCAGTTAGCAGTTTTTGATATGTTTCCTGACAAATCTCCAGGGCCGGATGGATTTAGTCCGGGCTTCTATCAACATTTCTGGGATGTGGTGGGACCAGACATTGTTAATTTTTGCAAGCATTCATTTGAGACTGGTAAGCTCCCGAATCATATTAACCATACTCATATAGTGCTTGTCCCCAAAACTGAAATCCCGGAGAGTATGAGTGTCTGGAGGCCCATTGCACTTTGTAACGTGCATTATAAAATCTTTTCCAAAATGTTGGCTAATCGCATGAAACATATTCTGCACCTGTGCATTTCTGAACAACAAAGTGCATTTATTCCGGGTAGATTTATTGTTGATAATATTATGTTGGCCTTTGAATCTCAACATTTCTTGAAATGCAAACGGCAAGGAAAGGTGGGGTTTATTGGGCTCAAATTGGATATGAGCAAGGCCTATGACCGGGTTGAATGGCCTTTTTTGGAAGGAATGATGAAAAATTTGGGCTTTGATCAAAAGTGGGTGGGATTGATTATGGAATGTGTGACATCTGTTTCTTACTCTATTCCTTTTGACGATGGAATGATAGATCTTGCTGCGCCGGGAAGGGGATTACGTCAGGGGGATCCTCTCTCCCCGTATCTTTTTCTCCTTGTGGCAGAAGGTCTTAGTGCTGTTTTTCGCAGATATGAGAAGATGGACAGATTGCATGGCGTGTCTATTGCTCGGGGGGGCTCCTATGATTTCTCACTTATTTTTTGCAGATGATAGTCTGTTATTTTTTCGAGCCAATCATGATGAAGCTTCCCTGGTAAAAGAGAGTCTGGCCGATTATGAAGGAGCATCTGGACAGGTAATTAATTACAATAAATCTAAGGTGTTCTTTAGTTCTAATGTGGCGAGTGATCACCGGGCCGGTCTTATTGATCTTTTGGGAGTTGGGCTGGCGGGTGAGGAGGAGAGATATATGGGATTACCGGCTCTTGTAGGGCGGAACCGGAAAAATATTCTGAGCTATCTCCGACAAAGAGTTGTCAACCGCATTAATAACTGGAATAACAAATTTTTGTCAAAAGCGGGGAGGGAAGTTCTGTTAAAGGCTGTTATTCAGGCCATGCCTACTTATTCTATGAATGTTTTCCTTTTACCTGTTGACCTTTGTCGGGAAATTGAAACTTTAATGAATGCATATTGGTGGAAAGGCAAGGCAGGTAAGGGAATTCATTGGAAGGATTGGGTGGCCCTATGTGTACCTAAAAAAGCTGGCGGTTTGGGGTTCAAGCGACTCAGGGACTTTAATATTGCTATGCTAGCTAAACAGGCCTGGAGACTTTTTACGAAGTCTGAATCACTAGTGGGGAGAGTTTTTAAAGCTCGGTACTATCCCAAGGGGAGCTTCTTGACCGCTAAACTGGGGAATAACCCGTCATTTATCTGGAGAAGCATTATTCATACACAGCAAGTGATTCAGGAGGGCTATTATTGGAGAGTTGGCGACAGGCATTCTATTAATATTTGGGAGGAGCCTTGGCTTCCGGACAGGGAAAATCCTCGTGTTATCTCAGGAAAATATGAAGGATTAGAGGAGGCAAGGGTGGCTAATCTTTTTTGCACCGACCGGAGTGAGTGAGATAGTGATATAATTAATGATATTTTTGGGGAAAGAGATGCGGCTCTTATAAGGGGCATTCCCTTGAGGAGGGCCATGATCGCGGACTCGATTTGCTGGAGGTGGGAGGAAAGCGGGCAGTTCTCAGTGAGGAGTTGCTATAGACGGTTGAAGGAGGAGGTGGGCAACCAGCCAGGGATGCTCTGGACGGCTATGTGGAATTTCAATATTCCACCTAAAATAAAAATTTTCTTTTGGCAGTTTTGTAGCGGCTGTCTTCCTTCGCGGATTAATTTGCAGGTTCGAAGAGTGCCGTGCTCGGGTCTATGCGGACTTTGTGGAGCGGAGCCTGAGACGCTAGAGCATTTGTTCAGGTCGTGTCCAGCTGTTGTTAACTTTTGGGCTGCGATGCGATGGCAATGGAGCTCGGCGGGGGATTTGACTTTTTTGGAGCAGCTCAACGAGGAGTTCAAGAGGAGGAAGATGATGGACCTGGAGCAATTGATCTGGGGTTGCTGGTCGTTATGGACAGAAAGGAACCAGAGGGTGTGGCAGGGGATGACTTCTTCGGCGGAGCAGGCTGTTCACCGCGGC